ATTTTTAGGGCTTGGGCACCTCATTTCCGTTCCAGTTCGTCTTCAACCAGCAACTGCACGTCCAGGGAGCATTCTAAGGTAGAGAAATAGTTGGAGAAGCTTAGGGAATACTTAGGTCTTGCGATTTGTGACAGAAATCATCCTTTCTAAGCTTTCTTCTCCCTTTCCTCTATATTTTGATGTATCTTTTGTTGAATATTGTTGCTTCATGCTGTTTTAATGGCTGTTAGTGGCTGAACACATTTGACCTAAAGTAACTATGAACTTGTTGGTGAATTAGAGCTTGTTTTTACCCATTGGTTATGCTTAATATTAATTTTGGTTGCTCAATCTTGTATTAATTTGTCTATTTAATGTTTGGCTATCATTAAATATGAATTTAGGTATTGGAATTTTTTCTTAACAAAGGAGAATCTCATTTAGACCTTTAGATTAAGTAATATGAGATTAGACTATGATCTAATTTGTAATTAGGATAGAAATATACCTAATTGCCTCATATAATCAAATTAGAGTGAGTTGGAATTAAAGTTGCCTCTTGGGTGAATTTTGTTAGAAATAACATAATTAATTTGAGAGAGGGTTATTTGAGGTTCGAAATCTTATAACCATTAATGCTCTAGATTAATAAAATTAGCATTAAAATTAATTAATTGGGTAAAAAGCAAGATCTATGAAGCTAGCAAGGGATTAGTGACTCTATATTGTATTGGACATTTGTAGTTGTTAGATTGGGAATCTCATTGCATTTTATTCGTTTTACTTTTTAATTTTTGCTTAATCAATCGCTTCTAATTGATTTTGCCTAACATGAACAAAAATGAAAACTTTATTGTCTAATTGCTATTATGCTTAATTCCTTATGGAATCAACCTTGATGCACTATTATATTGCACTTTGACTTGTACACTTGCGGTGAAACATTTTGCGCGCATCAGATACTCATATGAAAATAGTTTAATAGCAAAAATAAACCTTAATTCTTCATTTTATTTTAGAGCAAAGTGCAATCAAAATGACTAACTTTAAATTCTTGCTTTATTGCCTACTCTCCAATTTTTGTTATAGATAGAGCTCATTTAACTTCACCGAATTACATTGAGAGGTGCAATGAGGATCTAAACGATTTTTTCCCAAAAAAAAAAAAACAAAGAAAAAGAGGAGTCAAGAATTATATACATACCATGAGTAAAGCTTTAAGGTGATCAAAAGTGAGGTGAATGGAAAACCATGGCTGATTCTTGAGGCGAAGGAAGACATCAACTATATCTTCTTGTGGTTTAGGCCTTTGAGGATCAAGGTGTTCATCGATCACTTGTTGGGAAAATGCATCCATGTCCTTGAAAATCCTCTCAAGACGACCACTCAATCCTGTGAGTCTAACAATACACCCTGTGAAATGAATGTAATCTGAAATGAAGAAGGTGCTCATCAACGCCATCATCTCATTCACCATCCCATGGAACCTTGAATACGATCAACAGTACAACAAATCTTCATCAGCTATGGTAGTGAAATGATACTGATGAAGCATACACATGAGATTGGATAGAATGCTTCTGAAGCTAAGGACGTCCTTTTATTTAACCTTCTAACATCCATGATTTTATCAAAAGATTGCAATTTTGTAGTCGAAGTAGCGACATTTTGTGTGAGGGGTCGAGATTAAATAAGTATATGTATTATAGGACTTGTATAAATTTTAGGGCTGAAAATACATGGTAAATTTATATAATACTAAGGAAAAAATAGATTTTAATTTTCATGATACATAGAAACACATTCTAAAATAAAATAAATTATTATATCTTTCATATGCATGCCACAACAAATTTTCAAAATAGAATAAGTTGTTATTTAGATTTTAATTTAAATAAAATAAAAAAATTCTAAGTAGATATATAAAATAAATTATTTTTTGATCTTTACATTTCTAATTTATTTTTACTTTTTAAATACTACCAGATGGGCATGTCATGGAGTCTAGTTATTATAAGCACATGTATTCAAACCGAGATGGTGAGTTGCATCATTAATGAAATGCGGGAGCATACTAACAGAGCTTTCATTAGAGACACCTAACAGCCAGGCGGAACCAGCCTTCATAGCTAGTTGGATGGGGTACATTTTTTTTGACAAATATATGGAAAAATTACGTATAAGTTCCTCAGGACCTGAATGTAAATTAAAATTAGAGTGCAGAGATGATAATGCCCCTATTAAAAATATATTACATTAATCAAATAATTTACAACTATTCCATTCATAATTTATAACTATCATTTCAACCTTTTACAACTATAACTTCAACTTTTTTACATTAAATATTCAAACATTTTAATTATTTAATTTGTGGAGTTACAGTTGTAAAAAGTTGAAATAATAGTTGTAAATTAATGATGAAGTAGTTGTAAATAATTAGTGTTAAACTTTGTTAGTAATGCATTTAACTATTAGATATATCAAGTTATAGTTGTAAAAAGTTGAAGTGATGTTATAAATTATTAATAAAATAGTTGTAAACAATTAGTGTTAAATTTTTTAATAATGTATAATTGGTTTAACTATTAGATATGTGAAGTTATTATTGTAAAAAGCTGAAGTAATAATTGTAAATTACTGATAAAGTAGTTGTAAATTATTTAATTAAGATAATGTATTTTTAAGAGGGGCATTATTCTCTTTTAACCCCAATTTCAAATTACACTCAGGTCTTAAGGGATCTTACTATAATTTCTGAATTTTGCAAGATTTATTTATAAATCTATACGTAATTTTTTCAACAAATATACTCATTAATTAAAATTTTTTAAAATGCATCATACTATTTTTTTGAAAAATAATTTTATAATTTGAAATTATTAGATAATAAATTATGCATAACTATATATACTTTAATTTTAAAAAACAACATGCAAAGTAAATTTCATATGTAACATACATATACTCCCTCTCACCTATTATACTACAAGGCACCTTCTAAAAATAAAATTGAATGCAGAATACAAGATGTGTAGTCAAAATATCAAATGATGCTTCATTTTGATTCCTATAATTTTAATAGTTTCCTAGTAATTTAAGCCTGGTTACCCTTTAACTAATAAGAGTATAAGTAAAATATTGAATTAATTGTTTAAAAATAAAGTAATCAATTTAACAAAAAATTTTAATCCGCATAAAATTAAGGAAGTACATATAATGTAAGGGTTGAAAGAGCATGGTCCCTTTTGTTTTTTTTTCACCATATATGGATCCCAACTTTAAGATAAAAAAAAATAAGGGACTTTTGATAATTTAAAAATTTTATAAAAAGAAATTTAATTTGTAGAGATTTTATAAAAAAAGATAGACATTATGTTTTGTTACAATAATAAAAACAGTGACTATTTGATTGTTATTTTTAAATTTCATTATATCTTTTTTGATTTCTTTTTTATAAATATTATTTATTATTTAATTATTTTAAAATTATATGATATATTCCTGTACCGCATAATATTATTTTTAGAAGTTACAATAATCAGAAATTTGCTTTATTTTAGATTTTGGTTATTTTAAAAATTTACACAAACAATATAAAAAGTCACAAAATAGATTTTTTTTTATAAAATAAGTGATCTATTGAAATATGAAATGTACATACTTACTAAAACCCTAACCTGTTTAAAAAATGGAGGATATTTTAATTATTTATTCCTAGCAAAACATATATTCTATTCAGTTCGTGAAGAATTTAAGGGGTTGCATGCAGGGGCCATCGCTCCCCACATATGTTGTTTGATTAACGCATTGCTCCCAATACTTGAAAGTATTCTGTATAAATAAGAAGATTTTTGTTTGTAAAAAAATGTTGAAATCAATTTTATTCCCCCACTTTTAGATAAATTGTCAGTTATGGCCCCCTCACATCATAACTCTGATTTGTCCTTGAATTCAGTCCCTTAGTCGTGGAGTATATTTCCATATTCTATTACTCTCGGTTTGAAATTAAACCCCTGCAAAGATTCTTTATTGAAATTCTCCCTAATATATATGTATAATAAATCATGAACAACAATTATGTATAAACTATAAAAAAATGTTTACATATTATCCAAAATTAAATTGGAAAAATGACAGAAAAATTCATTTAAATTATGTAAAAGATAGATTGATATGTAAACATTTTATTTTAATTAGAGAAAATTACATATAGGTTTTGTAGGATAGACTTATTCACAAATAAGTCTCACAAAATTTAAAAACCACAGCTAGGTCCCTTGTGACTTGAGTATAATTTGAAATTCAGTTGCAAAGACAATAATACTTCTATTAAATATACATAAGATCAATCAAATTATTAATTTACAACTACCATATTTAATAATTAGACAATCATGCGTTACTAATAAAATTTAACATTAATTGTTTACAACTACTTTATCAATAATTCATAACTATAACTTTAATTTTTTATAATTGTAACTTTACAAATTCAATTGTTAAATTGATTAGTTTAATTATGTCATATATGAAGCTACAGTGGTAAAAAGTTGAAATTATAGTTGTAAATTATAGATGAAGTAGTTATAAATTATTTAACTGATATAATGTATATATGTTTAATAGAGACATTATTGTCTTTTTATTTAAATTTTAAATTACACTTAGGTCTCAAGGGACTTAGTTATGGTTTATAAAATTCACAAGATTTATTTATTAATAAGTTAGTCTACAAAAGCTATGTGTAATTTCCCCTTTTAATTACCAAAATCGTATGGACCTTTTAGTAATCGCCCTATTTCTTAAAGACCCACCAACAACTGAGGATGGCAGGACACTGCGATTGATTATATGACCCCTACCTCTCTTAAAGACGATAACGGTGGCCGATAATTTCCTCTCGTCTTAAACATTATATAAATCCGCACAAGCATCTCACTACCTTCACTTCATGATCCAATTGCTTTCTCTTTCTCTCTCTATATACATACTTCCCACATTATATAATAAACATAGTCATGGCAGCACAAAAATCCAATGCCTCTGTACTGTTCCTTCAGGAAGACGATGATGAAAGTCTATCCCAAGAGTGCCGAGACCTCATTGCAACCCTACCCAGTGAACCGAATCGGCTCATGACAAGACTCTACCAATTCAAAGGTTTCTGGGTCTCCAAGAAGCTCATGCAAGCAGTCCTCAATTGCCAGAACCATTTCCAAGCCCATGATTCTGATGTCCTTCTTGTTACATTACCAAAATCTGGTACCACATTGCTCAAAGCCCTCGCTTTTGCTATCATTAACCGTAAAGCTCATTCTCAGCAGCATCACCAAGGCTTTTTGGAACCCATCTACCACATGTTTTTTGCCAGAATCTGTGAAGCCATCGAAATGTAAGATAGTGTACTTGTGCAGAAACCCTAAGGACCTCTTCGTGTCACAGTGGCACTTTGTAAACATGTTAAGACCAGAAACCACAGAGAATAACTCGATGGAAGATTCGCTTGAGATGTTTTGCCGAGGAGTGAGCCTTTTTGGGCCGTTTTGGGATCACATGTTGGGGTACTACAAGGAGAGTTTGGAGAGGCCGGAAAAGGTAATGTTTCTTATGTTTGAGGAGCTTAAGAGTGAGCCTGTTAGAGTTTTGAAGGACCTAGCTGAGTTCATGGGGTATGGTTTTTCTGAAGAGGAAGATAAAAGTGCTGTTGTGGGTAATATATTGAGGCTATGTAGTTTTGAGAATTTGAGCAATTTGGAAGTAAACAAGACTGGAAAGTTGTCCACTGGAATGGAGAATAAGAATTTTTTAGACGCGGAGAAGTTGGAGATTCCAAGAATTATCTCACATCAGACATGAACCAACGGCTTGATGTTATTATTCATGAAAAGCTGGGAAAGTGTGGCTTGAAAGTTTAGATCCCCATATACAAGCACACTTCGAAGCATCTAGTGATCAACTGATGAGGACAAGCTTCTAGTAAAATTTTTAGTATTTGCTATGTCATTAAATATGTAATGCTGTCTTTATGGTGTATGTCTCTTTTGCCACAAGTAATATGTGTTTTTGAACTTTGAACGAAGTGGAAGCAAGTGATAAAATTGAATTATAATCACATTGCGCTATGATATTCCCCCATCCTCCTCGGTATGATAAGACGGAAACTACGGGCCTATATATCCATATAGCTCTAGCTCATGTGAACCCAAACCGTATAGTTTTTTTACCATAAAGCTGATCATTTTTTTAACCTTGCTCATTTTTATTAGACTGGGGCTGGTCTAGAAGCCCATTTTTATTTTTAAAAATTAAGTTTAACATTATAATATTGCATATTTATTTACTAAAATGTAAATTATAAAGTTCTAAAATTCAAAATAAGTAATATAAATCTTAATTTTTAAATTACAACACCTATTATAAATTTAATTTAAAAATTTAAAATACCTCAATATATTAGCCTTAAAATAAATACAAGTTCTTTGTTTTTTAAAATAAATACCAGTTCTAGAAGGTAGCTTAAGCACGGTTTTTTAGGGCCTAAATGTGCTAGGCTCTGAAACTCTTTTATACTAAAAAATCTTAATTTTTAAAGCCTGAGCTCAAAAAGAAAATTGGTTTAAACGGGTAGTCCAAATTTACGGCTCTCGGTGGAGTGATATGATTGATTAATTATTTTCTGATAATGCTATGTAAGAATCGTGTTCCTTATTGCTACATCCGCTCCATTTTATAAAATGTTTTTTTTTTTGGAGTGATTTGATATCTCATGATTTAAGATACTTTGGGAAAAATAATGATTCGCCAATGAAACTTATTCTAAAATTATCCTTCATTATTTTTCAATTCTTAAATATATTTCTTTTCCTATTTCTCATATTAAATGAAGGGTATTTTTAAAATTTTATAAAGAATTTAAGTTTACAAATTATATTTAATTTTTTTGTCCACAACAAACTGTAATTAATGACTTCATTGGAATTTGCAATTTTATCAAAAATAAATAAAATTGTTTTATAAAATGAGGCAAGGAGTATGATGGTGTTGTGAGGTCGTTGATCAAAGTTTGTGAATATTACTATCGAGAAATATAACGAGGGATGGTTGCCTTATGAAAATAATAGAAGCGTTAGTTGTGTCATTAATAAATTACAAAAGCGACCATCACCAGAGTTTTCATATTATATTTGGTCTATATTATAAGATACCTTTAACTATCTCACTAGAACTAATGAAATGTGGTTAAGTTATTAATTTTGTCTAAAAATGGGATAAACTTTCAATTTCACCCCTATTTAAATTGAAAAAATTTAAATTTGCATTACATTCTCTCTCATAGTTGATGAATTTAAATAGGGTTAATATTGAAAAAGACGTAATTCATAGCTTATCAAGTGCCTTATCTTAATGATCAAAGAATTTTTCTAGAAGGCATCTTACAGTAGAGACAGGATGGAGCATAGGCTAATAGGCACCTAACGCTCAGGGAAAATTTCAGTTAGTGCCCTTTAATCCAACATAATTTCAGTCAACCACTAAAACTCTAAAATTTCACTAAACATTTGGGCAACTGAAATGAAATTAAAGAGCTAACTCAAATGACCTTATTGTCTCTAGTGGAATTAGGCTTATGAACAATTTGTGCAGGGAAAATGAGTAATTTATGTATGAAAAATGAATAATTGACGTAGGTGGAATAAGAGTTGAAAATTTATAGTGTTGTCATGATGTTAATGAGAGTTCAAAATTTCACCTACGTCATTAGAAAATTCAAGAATTTCAAAATATTGAATATATAATTTCATTTTAGTATCACAAGAGGAGTTGGTGTAAATTTGAAAAATTTATGGTAAAATAATTAATTTTCTCGTTTTTTGACTTAAATTATAATAACCCGGAAGTTTTAGTAAAATTAAAATTCTTGAGATAGTATTTCGTTTTTATTTTCACTAATTTTAAGATAGATGCAACAAGCGAAAATGGTGGTCTAGACTGTGCTGGTAATTTATCCACTAGGTCCTCAGTTTGAATTTTCTTTTCACTTTAGTCTTTAGTGAAAATCTTCCATTTTCTTTCGGGATTGATTTATACTGCTGAGGCACAGAGGGATAGAGAGCCGAAACCCTTCCTCTTCTTCATTCCTTCTATTTGATCACATTTGTGATTGAGAGAGTGAAAGCCAATTGATTCCCTTTGTCGTCTGTTCTTCCTCCACTCCTTGTGCACGTCGCACCATCACCGATGGGGATCCAGGGAGCTTGTTCATTGATTTAGAGGATTTGAGTCGCTGATTATTCCCTTTTGCTTCATCGCCGACGCCTTCTTCTTCCTTATTCTTCAATAGATTCTTCATTCATTCTGGCATGATATTCCCATGCCATAATTGAAACAGTGATAGCTAATACATTGGCACTAGAAGAGGTGCTCACATTTACAGTGTCTGATCATGCTTCAAACAACATTACATCCAATAGGATGATACTTATAAGCAATAAGAAAAGCTATATCCTCATATTTTATCTTTTCTTCTTTCATTTGATTTTTTTTTTTGCACAATATAAAAAAGAGTCTATTATGCATCAAAATCTCGTCTTATCTTATAACTGAAAGATAAGAGAAAAATATATAAAAATTAGTTAAATAAGTATAAAATATTTATAAATATAATCAAATATAACCAAAGTCTATACCTATACTTATCTGTAAAATATGAAGTTATCAAATTCCTCCATACTTAGCTGGTTGCCCATGCTCAAGCATCTAATCTGAAATTATCATACTTATCTTTTCAGAATTCTACTTGTGATGCCACTTAAAGAATTGAAGAACACTTACAAAAAAATCAAACAGAAACCATTCAAAAAATAAAAAACTCTGAGTATACTAAAATAAATTAGTTTTTGTTTTTAATTTTTTATTTATACTTTTCAATTGTTAAAACATCCACGTGGATAGCATGGAGAATAGATCTAGTTATTATAAACATATGCATTCATTTCACAAAAGAAAAGAAAGAAAAGAAAATATACGCATTCAAACTGTTTGTCTGTTCACCATTTAAAGTGGCCACATTTGCCTTATCCAAAATGAGAAGGGTTAGTTCATTAATGAATTACGGGAGCAACCCAAACGAGATCTTTCATAGAAGAATGCCTACCATCGTCGCGCTCGACCAACTTTAGTAGCTAGGTCCCGTTTGTTTATTAGAAGAATGGAATGGAGTGATTTAAAAAAAATAAACATAAAAATAAGATGATAAAAAGTTATAGGCAAGCACATTTATAAGGAGAAGGGATAATTTAGTTCATGAGCTTGAGAATCATAATTCATGAGATTTTTAGAGAGTGTGATAATTCTCATATTTATAGTATATATTAATGAGTTTATCATGCTTATCATGGGAGGAAGGATAATTTAATTCATTTTTGTCTTGATTTTTTCAATTCATTTTATTTCATTCTTTTCTAATAACCAAACAAGACCTTAGTGAATTAGTTTTCTCCACAGCATTTTCACTCAACTACAAAACTAAATCATTCAGATTAAATTTTACCGATACACATTAATCTGTACTTTTAATAATTCTCAAATTTAAATCATCAAATTCAATTTTTTGGCCAGTCATGAAATTCAATTTAATGGTCTAGATGTACAGTGTTTTTCCACTGTAGTGGAGAAAATATAATCCAACTCTGTTAGTTAGGGGGCCAACTTTTAGAAAACTAATATGTATTTTTGTGGCCAAATATATATATATATATATATATATACATACATACATATCCTTACTTTTAATTTTTTAACATTTATCTTACTATTTTAAAAAAATGTATAATTTTATAATTTAGAAATATTATATAATAAATTATGTATAACTATATTCACCTTAATTTGTTTGAGAAAACATGCAAGTAAAATCACATATATGCATATATCTACTCCCTCCAGCCTCCACACTAAAAGGTACTTTCCGAAAAAAAAGGGGGGGGTCCAAATTACAAGATGCATATTCAAACTTTCAAATGATGCTTCATTTTTACCCTATAATTTTAATATTTTTCTTGTAATTTAAGCAAGCTTTCTCTTTAATTAATAGAGATATAAATAAGACATTAAAATATTTTTTTAAAAAAAGTAATTTAATACATTTTTTAATCTGTATGAAAAGTATCAGGGAGCATGTATGAGGGAGAATCTCATTAAAAGCCCTCAAAACCAAGATGGTCATCAAAAGGGCCCAATAGAATATGAAATTATTCTGTAGGTTCAAAGGTCTCAATTACAATTTAAATTCTTAGTGAAATGACACAAATGACCCTTAATATTTGTTTTTAAACAGGGTCACTATCATTGGTCATCGGAGCCACTGCATCGGTGCTTGAAGTTCTATCACAAGCAATGATATTACCACCGCTGGTGGTTGAACTGCCACTACCAGCCATCGGATCTTCGGTGGTTAAACCTTGTCAAATGTGCCAAGGGGCCAAGGGGAGACATGAATCCTTGACCTCTTAGTTGTTCAAAATGAATGTTACCACTAAAACCACTAATTAAATCTCTTTGAGAGAGAGAGAGAGAGAGAGAGAGAGAGAGAGAGAGAGAGAGAGAGAGAGAGAGAGAGAGAGAGAGTGTGTGTGTGTGTGTGTGTGTGTGTGTGTGTGAGTATTATAACTTATTTTCAAACATTTAAGCAACTTGTTGTTAATCATGGACACATTGATGTTTGATCGTATTCGAACAATCACTTGTAAATATTTAAATATGATTTGTTCATTTATAAAAAAATGTTATCAATTTTTAAAACCCAACTTGTTCAATTTCTTTTAATGACTTGTTCATTCAATATTGACAAGTTATTA